CTAATTTTCGTACAAAATCAGCTGGTGGTTGATCAGGTGGGAAAGGTTTGTACTCCACAAAAACATCATTTGCACCCTGCGTTAATTGAAAATCAGGAAACCTCTCTAAAAGATCTGCAAGTTTTATTTGATTATTGGGACGCTTCAAGTAGTCACCAACAACTGACATCCTTTTATCCCGCTTATCCCGCTTATCCCATAAGTAACTACGACATTTTCGCACGATATCGATGCTTTGAGAACTAAGAAATTGAACGCCACATTCAGTTTTGAAGTTGAATTTGTATTCGGTGGCGTATCGATTTATAAACTCTTCAAGCGATATCAGCGGTAACATGTCCATACTCTTCAAATATTCTTGTAACTGCGGAACTTTCACTATACGAAGCTCCATCAAGTATCGTCGAATATGACAGATAATGTTTGCATCACACGATTTGAGTCGTATAAATGGTTCTTTGTTAACATCCTTGAATAAGAACTCATCTTTATGCCGTTGAAGAGAACTAAAAACATCTACTTGCTGATTCGATAAATAGCTGTGAACATGTTTTTCTAATTCCGAATACGTAGCTATTCCCAGTTTCATAACACACTCTCGAATAAGCATCAGGACGAAAGTCTTTGACGTACGAAATCTACCAAAAGGTCTGTTTTCCTTTTGTGTCAACGATTGGATGATGTGCGGTAATATTCGCACGTAACACCCCTCTTCGTCCATGTCACATTCAAAAGTCTCTGAGCAATTTTTGAGAAATTCGGCGAGTTCGTCTGTAATTGTTTTCTCTTGAAATTCTCGAAGATGAACAATTAATTCTTTGAGCGATGCTCCCTTTTGAGTACCGTTCTTTGATATATAATCTTTGACAAGATTTTCTGTCAATTTCATGCGACTAGCGAGTTTGCTGTTACCTGCTTTCGTGGTAGAAACTTTTACTAGCCTTACACTTGTAATACCTTTCTGATTGAATACTTGAAATATACTACTATATGCAAGCAGGAATTCCTTGAGAGTTCTCTTCCCGTTGTCATTTCCGACTGCCTTGTTTTTCTCTGACTCAAATTGAAATCCTTGTAATTTCAGATAACGTCCTAATTCAAACACCGAATCTGCTTGATGATTTTCCAAATATTTTCGCGCAAACTTGATGATATTCGTGTCGACATCGGAAATCGTGGATTTTGGCGGGGATCCTTTATTAATAGACTCAATTGATACAATTACGCCACCATTGATTTTACCACCATCATCTCGAAGAGTAGCAATGCTTGAACTTGTAATACTCTTACTGGTCCTCGCAATAGAAACGACATCAGATGTTTCATCCTCAGATAGGTCGCTACCCAGACTGATTTCACTCGCATTTCTATACTTGGATGCATTAACGCTACTTTCTACACTCCCGTCGCTTCCACAATACTGATCCACTTTTTTAAGTCGAACCATGACTTGGTTGTTGTAACCTTTGTCGGAGATCTCGAAAAGATCCGTGCGTTCACTTAACAAAGTCTTTAGGTTCTCCAAGGTGGTTTGAACATTTCTGGTTGGTAACCATTGAACGAGTTCTTCAAGCGTTACTTTGTCGTTGAAGTCTAAAAAGTAAGCTTGACTGGTCTTAATTATTGCTTCTGAAGTGGAATTCATAGTTTTGAACTTAAAGAATGAATATTTTTGCTGAAGTAACCTCTTATTATAAAGTTGAGAGGTATACGTAAGGACGAGCTTGCTCCTTCGCACCTTTTTACCAAGTCTACTGTCCTTTAATTGACGTGCCTGCACAAGATGGTTTCACGTGATGCGCAATATCAAAATATGTTAGAGAAGTGACATATTATCTCATTAGTACCAGTTTAAAATTTTACTAAGACAACCTGCTTTGGACATTTAAGTAAAGATGTTAAAAATTTAATTTTACATATATTTACATTATTTTTGATATAGCCTTTAAGCTAAATAAAAGTTGGAAACTTTTGACGGGACAAGGTCATCAGAAATCTGTGTCAGGTTTTGTCGAGAGATAATAATGAATTCAGCCCGGCAATCAATAATCTCAGCATTGTGGGAATTTCCGTGACTGCCCGTCACGAAAAAAAATACTAAGACTCTAAGTCATAGGCCCATACTAACGTATACAATACAACGTGAAAAAAAATTTGGGTAAAAAAACCACGTTAACACGCTTTTCTTCATAAATTTCTCATGATTCATTGCCGCAATTAGATGTTAAAAGCTCACTGGAGTCGGACAATTTCGAATCAGGTGTTAGAGAGTCATAAACTTCTAGAAAAGTGAATTTACTTTTTTTGTAGCACTCTAGTCATGGAAAAAAATATAATAAAATTTCTGGGTCATGTGATTTTTAGGGGGTAAACCAATTAAATCGTAAGATATAAAATGCTATATTTGTTTAAAGATAGTCATCTTAAGGATAACGTTGTTAATATTTGGGGGCAAACCAATCAAATCGCAGGATCAAAGTGTAACGTTAAATATATCCTCCCAACCCTTACCTTCATAGTAATTATTTCATATCTTGCGGTTTGATTTGTTAACTCTTTAAAAAATATTCGGTTTACATGTTCCTGACCAATACAGATCAATAATCGACCATCCGATCCAAAGTACGCTGGGTGCAAATGATGTTTTTGTGGAGTACAAACCTTTCCCACCTGATCAACCACCAGCTGATTTTGTACGAAAATTAG